CCCCAAAACCCCAAAACCCCAAAACCCCTCCAGATACTTTTGAGATTGAAGTTTGGATATAAAATGCTGAATAATAGGATTTATTCAAGCTTAAACATTCTCATTGTATTGCTCCAAGCTGCTTCTGCAACTTCTTTCTCTGGGATACCTTTGATACCAGCTATATCATTTCAAAAAGGAATATAATCTATCTTACCTACTGCTTCAAGAACTTGTATCATCGTGCATGGTTCATTTCTTTCCTTACACATTTTATTAGGATTATACCTTCTCTTTCTAACACTCGGTATTTTAGTTTTCACATATTGAGAACTAAAATGACTATTTCTGATATCGCAATAAGGGCAGTCACTCTCAAGCATGATCCTTTCAAGAGGGATCTTTTTGACAATTTCACAGTTCTCCTCTGTTTTCATTGATCATCCATTGACTCCAACATACAGGTCAAGGTCGATAATTTCTTTAAGTTCGTCTTCTTCTCCTGTGAAGGAATGAACTACACCTGTTGGGAACATATCTCTATTTTCTCTAACTCTAAAATTTTAGCATTCTCGCCTACATATTAATGAACTCTAATCCTGTAGCTCTAGAATGGAGATACATTGGAAGCTCATACTTCTTTGCTAATTCAAAATGAAATGGAAAGACAGCCATTTGTGTTTCTTTATCTGCAAATTGGAATCTATCATAATCTAGTCCTCATTCTCCAATGGCCACTAATCTTGACTTATCTTGAAAATGATCATGAATAGTTCTTTCTATAGCTTCTTGGTATTCTTCAACTGTTCCACCATTCTTAAATACCTCTGTAGCTCTTCACGGATGAACTCCAATCGTTACATATCAATTCCCAAATTTCTTCGCTAAATCATACGAAACTTTCGCATCATCTAAGCTATCACTCACAAACTTACCAATATACCCCCCTACCAACAACAACCTCTCCACTCCATACTTCCTCGCTCTCTCCACCACAATCCCATGATCCGGCTCATGCACCCCTAAACGCCAAAATCGCCCCTCTTCCTCCCAAAACACCTACTTTTCCCATAAATCCCACTGAACTTCTCATCCGATAAATTAGCTGCTATATCGAACATCTTATAGATCTGTTTGCTTCTTTTAGTAAAGGATGTACTACAGAAAGGTCTGAGTGGTACCATTTTAATTTTATATGGGATGGAGGGGTTTTGGGGTTTTGGGGTTTTGGGGTTTTGGGG